AATTGTAAAGAGAAATATCTCCTATTTTCTTAATTTATTCACGGTTTACATTAGAAACCATGAAACAATATCTCATCTACTGCTGCAAAGAGGCTTTTTGGTCATTTCCGCCCTCCAACTAACAAACAGGATGGGTTGCTTTTGGAGAGTTCTGGTTTATATGAAACAGTGAACTGGATACCTTGCTCATCCCTATCCTGCTTGGTGCAACCACATGCCTGGGACCTGGAAATCCATTTGGTCTAGAGACTGTCAAAGGTGTAACTTCCATGGGTAGGTGGAACAGCCACCTACCACATTGAGGGTCATAAGGAGAGGTCAGAGACACCATCGGCTGTATCCACAGGCTGTATCCAATATTGCACTGGTCTTGTGACTCAATTATGCCTTTTATAAAGCATTTTTGGGGGTGTGGGTGGGAAAGGTTGTTTCTAGCATGGAAAGAGTTACTTCAACTTTCTGTGGCCCTGAAAGAGCTGAAAAAACAGACACTGCACACTGATATGGGAGGTTACCCAGCCAGGAGAAATACAAACATGTCCCTCTCCTATTGGCCTTTCAAGGATGTAAGGATCAGAAATAGCAAGTTCTAGTTTCTCCTAGTAATTTCCAGGGGTCAAAGTAAATCAAATTACCTCTTTAGCTGAGCTTATTTATGTCATAGGAAAGTAATATTTTGTGGGTGCAATCCAACACTTTGAAATTTGTAGATGGGAAGTGATATGAGAACCAAACACTGAAAATCTTGGAGCAAAATGTGAAATTTATCCACTTTCTCCCTTACCTCCCCCACAAGTCCAAAGTGAAGGATGATTATGGTAGTTACGAGATATGAAATCTGGATGACTGGTCTCTGGTTTGGGTTTCCAGAGGAACCTAAGATTAAGAGAATTATGAACCAAAGATTGAGCAAAACTCCCAATGAGGACTAGTAGACGGAGGGGAAAAGGAGAAGTAAATGAACTTGAATAAAGTTAGTGATAAAGGAGAAAGCAGCAAGTGCAGGCAAAAAGAACTTTGCCTGGTGAAGAGTTTTACCAGGAATGCAAGAATAGATCTCAAGGATTTAGATCAGACCAAGCCCTGAGAATTAGATAATGGGTGGGTTCCTAAGGGCAACTGCAGAAGAGGTTTGAAAAACAAAATTGAATCTCATCTAGTCTGGTCCTGGCTGAAGGTGGAGAGAATGTGCTGGAAAACAAAGAACAATAGCTTTCTTGTATAGGCCTTCACCAGTACCTAAGATTTACATTTTTAAAGCTGACATGATTTCACCGGACCCTCACTAAAGCTCAGAGAGGCAGGGCAGGGCCAGAATTACTTCCCTCATGAGGAAATTCAAAGACAAAGGGTTAAGTTCCAGTTGGCAGGAGAGAGACGGAGGAAGGAAGGCAGACCCTGGAAGGTTTTGAAGTTCAGGGGGAAATGAGGATTCTTTTTTTTTCCTTTTTGAAGAAAACGTTTGTTCCTTTCCAGGTACACTTGATTACTCACTGTTAAGTAGGCGGAAGTCAATGAATGGGTAGGAGCCTCGGCGTTCAGCAGGGACCCCCGTCTGACCCGTTAGTTGTACATCTCCTAGAAAATAGAAAATCCAAACAAATGTTTGAAAACGTTGCCAAGTGTATTCACTTTTCTTCTGTAAATCCTCTTAACCAGTTATGTCAATGAAACCAACACCAGATGTCCGGAGAAAAATGATTCCCTTTCACCTTACTGAAGAGAGTGCGATGCGTGAAGGGATATTTGATTAATGCTGAGTGTAATGAACTTGGCAATGCGATAACGAACGAACCACTGCTCTCTTATATCTGCCTGGAAGATGGGTCTGGTGAAAATCACAACAACTTATGTTTCCATAGTCTTTTCATACTTCCCAGAGCCATAAAAATGAAGCGTCTGAATCTGGAAGGGGACAAATGGTGTGTTGAGAATGTAGCTTTTTTTTTTAATCAGCCAGAGTGTCATTTCTCTTGGTTCCAGCACAATTGTTTTCTGCCTGGCATCCACCTTCCTTGTCCCCAGGTTGTATCATTTACCAGCTTTAGAATCTGCCCAAAGGCTAGCCTTGTCCCAGGTACATTAGCCACGCCACCACCCTTGCGCACAGGACAGTCCGGAGAGCTTCTGGGACTTATTTATTTGTAGTTTTCCTTTAGTGTGTGTGTTCATTTTCCTTTTTTGTTTTTGGTGTGTGTCCTGCCTTCCCGATCAAGGGAGGTGGTGGAGTAGGGTGAAGAGAGCATGGACTTTAGAACGAGGCAGACCTTGGAGAAGCCTGCCTCTGACCCTGGCTGACTGTGCGATCTTGGCAAATTTATTTCTGAGCCTCAGTTGCCTCATTTATAAAATGAAGATGAGATCTACTTTGAAGCGTCATCATCACAGATCCTAAAATAGTACCTGCTGCCTGGCAATAAATGCTGGTTTATTTACTTCTAAACTGCAAAGCAGGGATCATGTATGTCATGTTATTTGCATTTCTCCACAGCACTTTGTATATTGTCTGGTACTTAGTGGACTCTAAGTGAATGTCCTCTGTTGACATGAGTAGATATAAAGACCAAATTCACCAGTTATTACACATAACATGGAATCAAAGGAGAGGTAAAAATACATGAGACCTAATATATTTCTGGAAGAACTGAATCAGGGAAGGTTTCAATTCCAGTAGTAATGGATTCATGGCCATAAACCACTTTTTCCCAGAGCTCAGGTGGCACTGGGGCCCCAGCCTGGGAGTGGAGAGGGTAACAGTCTTTCCTCCTCCTTCCTAACTCCTAGAGGTAACCAGGGCCGGGGCGAGATCGCCATCTGCTCCAACCCCTGCAACTGACAGTGCTTAAAATGTTGCTCATGGATGGGCCTTGAGTGTACCTGGGGTTGTAAAGTGCAAGCTGTGAGCTCTGGGGCTATCCTCTGCTTTGAATTTTATGTTGGTGCCTTATTTAATATCTCATATAATCTGATATGAAATTGCCATATTGATATTAAAGAATGTTACAACTTATGGATAACAGGGAGAAAGCAAAGTGGGAGGAAGAAGGAAGAGATGGAAAAGTACTTCTAAAATATGACTATAAATTGACATCTAAGAAGGGAATGCTGTTAGCTTTTTTAAAAAAATTAATTTATGTATTTTAGGCCGGGCGCGGTGGCTCACGCCTGTAATCCTAGCACTCTGGGAGGCCGAGGCGGGTGGATCGCTCAAGGTCAGGAGTTCGAGACCAGCCTGAGCAAGAGTGAGACCCCGTCTCTACTAAAAAATAGAAAGAAATGATCTGGACAACTAAAAATATATATATAGAGAAAAAATTAGCCGAGCATGGTGGCGCATGCCTGTAGTCCCAGCTACTTGGGAGGCTGAGGCAAAAGGATTGCTTGAGCCCAGGAGTTTGAGGTTACTGTGAGCTAGGCTGACGCCACGGCACTCACTCTAGACCGGGCAACAAAGGGAAACTCTGTCTCAAAAAAAAAAAAAAAAAATTAATTTATGTATTTTGATAAGTCCATGGGGTGGATGGCCAATAGTTAAAGGAAAGCGATGGAGAAGAGTTGAAGTGTTTTCCTCTCCTCGGCAGTTGTCTTGAATACCCTGTATTTATAATGCGCTGAAGGGTTTACAAAGCACTTTCACAAACATCGCACAATATTTATTTTCTTGTTTCTCTTGTTGGATCCTCATAATAGCCTGGTGAGGAGAGCCACTTATTATTATTATTCTCTTTACTTTATAAGTGAGAAAATTGAGGCCCACGGGAGAATGGTTTTCAAGGACTGCTGTTCACCCTGTGGTCCCAGCTCAGGGTTGGGGGTTCTTAAAGGCCTGAGGTAGTAAATATATATGGACTTTAACTGAGTTGCCTGAGTTTACGGTGCTTTAAGCTTATAGTAGTAATTAGCACTTAAATCTAGTTTATTAGACTTCCTAGGCAGAGCTGTCTCCTCAATACCATTGGTGTGTAGACCTGGTTTTTAAAATGAAAAGAAAAAATCTTAGATTGCCCCCATAATAGAAGACTTTAGATTTGGGGGATGAGAAGATAGCACCGCATGGTAGAATGGACAAAGGGCAGGCAGTATATGAGGAACTCAGGGACTCCTATGCTGAGACATCAGCATTTTGCCATCTTGGGTAACTTGGGACAAATCATTGACCACTTTGAGGTTGAGTTGTCTAACATTTAAATTGCATCATGATAGCAATTTCGCCTCACACAAGGTTGTTGTGAGGAAAGTGTAAGATGTGTGAAATAATGATAGTTAATGTTTATTGAACACTTACACTGTGCTGAGCATTTTACCTGCATTATCTCATATCACCAACCCAACAACCCACAGCAGGTATTTATTATTATTCTTAGACCAGTTTACATATAGGCAAACTAAAGCCAATGCAAATTTGATAATTTTTTCAAACTCATAGAGCTAGTAAGGGTAGAGCTTTTGCTTAAACTCAGAATGGATTCTAAACCCCATGTTCTTAACCACCATTCCATATTATCAGGTTAAAAATTGTTTAAAGAGGTAAGCATTAACATTTCTTACATAGTATATGCTTTGATTGTTATTTGCCATTAAACTGAATATAGTTATCACAGTTTTGAGAAACTGAATACCAGGGGTATCCATCCCCTTAATGAATTCGAGGCTTAATCAGATGGATGTTGTTTATTCAAAGAGCAGTTCTGTGGAAATGGGCCGTATGAGCAAGACAACCAAATCCTGTTCTGGATCAACAAGGCATCTATTACTTCCAAGTAAGAAATGGAAAGCAATTATTGAAAATATTATTTAGCAGAACTGAAATTAGCTGGCAACTAATTTATTCAAGCTCCCAACTAAGTGGCATTTTCATGCTGCTCCCCACTTTTGGGAAAAAGAGATAAATAGCAAAGCAAGCTGATAGCAAAGATACCTGAACAAACAAACAAAACAAAAAAATCAACAGCAACCACAACGAACGAGGAAACCACACCTGAAAGATTCAGTTTCAGTGCCTACGCTGTCTGTAACTACAATCGCACTCTGAGAAGCTGAGTACCTAATGATGGCCTTTTGGTGCAGTAAACAATTGTTTTCAAAAGGATTAAATCATGTTAAAAATACTAGTAAGGCAAAAGGCAGGACAATTGTAAGTGGGCTAATAATGCGTTTTAGAAATTTTTCAACACCAGAAAAGTTAAATACAAGCAAAGCAAACATTCTGTATCTTGAGCATTCTATTTAGTTGAAGCTCTAGCATAGTACAATTAATGTTTTAAGCCTATATTTCTAATGTAGAATGTTCTTTTTACTTTTCCCTGCTTTGATGAGCCCCTTCTGCTACTAAATTGCTTTAATATGCTGGTGGGGAGAGAGAAATAATTCCGTGACAACAGTCCTTGGAGGAGGAGCAGAGGCCACTGGCCTGTTGTCCGAGGGACAGAACAAGCGGTGTCCTGCTGTGCTGCTTTTACTGGCTCAGGTCTCAGGCAATCATCTATTTACCTAAGTCCTTATATCCAAGCTAAACAATTATTTTGACTATTCATTAAGCCCTTGTTTAACTTGAGCAGTTTTTTTTTCTTCTGGCAAATGAAAGGTGCCGTGGAAGCTGGTAGGAAGCGTTGACAGCTCAGAGTCATGTCCCCAGTCTGTTCTTATTGTGTTCCAAAAGGAAACAAACAGCAGGGGAATTCTTATTTTGAAAGGGCTGCTTCTCTTTTGCCTCTTCAGGCTGAAAACATAACGTGTCGTCCTCAGTACTGAAGGCAGCAAACAGGCAGACAGCTGAGCTGCTGTCGCTCCAGGAGCCGAGACCCGGAGACAGCCCCTCACCCTCGTCCGGGACGTGGAACTGGGATGGACCTCTTCTGCACAGTTGGCCTCTTGCGCTGTCTCTGGTTAATACAAGCCTGTGCTTAGGGAGCAGACGTTTATGTGGCCTCTTATGTAACTGGTGGGGACTCTGACGGCAATGACAGCTTACAGTGGCTAAAGCATGGACCACATGACAGGAACCATTCTCTGGCCACAATCATGGTGTGTCGAGGTCATTTCAGGGTGGGGAATAGGTGTCAGGAAGGGACAGAGCAGTAGCTACCGTGCTCCTATGGCATCTGAGACCAATGAAGAAGATAATGGAGTTCTTGATGTAAACAGGTTGCAGGGAACATGGGATAGATTCATGGCAGGGGCGGGCGTCACTAAGGAACAAGGAAGGTGAGATGGTGGTGGTGTCAGAAACACGAAATCCCAGAGCAGCCCAAATATGGTGTGGAAGAAGCAACTCTCGTAAAAGGTATTCCTTTGAGCTTCCTGAGCACATTACTAATCCATGTCATTGCCGCCACTTGCAAAATGAGGACAGAGAGAACCCAGACCCCACATCTCAGACAAGAACTTTCACCCACTGCACTGTCTCAGTTGGAAGCTTTGTTTATTTCATGTGACTACTCTCAGAATTAGCTAAGTGAATGATTTCTCCTAAGATGTTTATCTAGTCTAACAAAGAGGGGGAACGTTGTGCAATTTAATCACTCCATAGATTTATGGGGTAGTAGAAGCAGCCAGTTTAGATAACTCAGGCAGAGATT